TGATAGTATACAATGTAAGGGTAGGTGACACACAGTGCTGACAGTATACAATCTAAGGATAGGGTGACACGCCGTGCTGATAGTATACAATCTAAGAGTAGGGTGACACACCATGCTGATAGTATACAATCTAAGAGTAGGGTGATACACCGTGCTGATAGTATACAATCTAAGAGTAGGGTGACACACCCTGCTGATAGTATACAATCTAAGAGTAGGGTGATACACCGTTCTGACAGTATACAATCTAAGGGTAAGTTGACACACCGTGCTGATAGTATACAATCTAAAGGGAAGTTGACCCACCGTGCTGACAGTATACAATCTAAGGTTAGGGTGATACACCGTGCTGACAGTATACAATCTAAGAGTAGGGTGACACACAGTGCTGACAGTATACAATTATCTAAGAGTAGGGTGACACACCGTGCTGACAGTATACAATCTAAGGTTAGGGTGACACACAGTGCTGATAGTATACAATCTAAGGTTAGGGTGACACACTGTGCTGACAGTATACAATCTAAGGGTAGGGTGACACACAGTGCTGATAGTATACAATCTAACGAAAGGGTGACACACCGTGCTGACAGTATACAATCTAAGGGTAGGGTGACCCACTGTGCTGATAGTATGCAATCTAAGGGTAGGGTGACACACAGTGCTGATAGTATACAATCTAAGGGTAGGGTGACACACCGTGCTGATAGTATACAATCTAAGGGTAGGGTGACACACAGTGCTGACAGTATACAATCTAAGGGTAAGGTGACACACCGTGCTGATAGTATACAATCTAAGGGTAGGGTGACACACAGTGCTGACAGTATACAATCTAAGGGTAAGGTGACACACCGTGCTGATAGTATACAATCTAAGGGTAGGGTGACACACCGTGCTGACAGTATACAATTTAAGGGTAGGGTGACACACCGTGCTGATAGTATACAATCTAAGGGTAGGGTGACACACCGTGCTGATAGTATACAATCTAAGGGTAGGGTGACACGCCGTGCTGACAGTATACAATCTAAGAGTAGGGTGACACACCGTGCTGATAGTATACAATCTAAGGGTAGGGTGACACACAGTGCTGATAGTATACAATCTAAGGGTAGGGTGACACACAGTGCTGATAGCATACAATCTAAGGGTAAGTTGACACATCATGCTGATAGTATACAATCTAAGAGTAGGGTGACACACCGTGCTGATAGCATACAATCTAAGAGTAGGGTAACACACCGTGCTGATAGTATACAATCTAAGAGTAGGGTGACAGACAGTGCTGATAGCATACAATCTAAGGGTAAGTTGACACATCATGCTGATAGTATACAATCTAAGAGTAGGGTGACACACAGTGCTGATAGCATACAATCTAAGGGTAGGGTGACACACCGTGATGATAGTATACAATCTAAGGGTAAGTTGACACATCATGCTGATAGTATACAATCTAAGAGTAGGGTGACACACCGTGCTGATAGCATACAATCTAAGAGTAGGGTGACACACCGTGCTGATAGTATACAATCTAAGGGTAAGTTGACACATCATGCTGATAGTATACAATCTAAGAGTAGGGTGACAGACAGTGCTGATAGCATACAATCTAAGGGTAAGTTGAAACATCATGCTGATAGTATACAATCTAAGGGTAGGGTGACACACCGTGCTGATAGCATACAATCTAAGGGTAAGTTGACACATCATGCTGATAGTATACAATCTAAGAGTAGGGTGACACACCGTGCTGATAGCATACAATCTAAGAGTAGGGTGACACACCGTGCTGATAGTATACAATCTAAGGGTAAGTTGACACATCATGCTGATAGTATACAATCTAAGAGTAGGGTGACAGACAGTGCTGATAGCGTACAATCTAAGGGTAAGTTGACACATCATGCTGATAGTATACAATCTAAGGGTAGGGTGACACACCGTGCTGATAGCATACAATCTAAGGGTAGGGTGACACACCGTGCTGATAGTATACAATCTAAGGGTAGGGTGACACACAGTGCTGATAGCATACAATCTAAGGGTAGGGTGACACACAGTGCTGATAGCATACAATCTAAGGTTAGGGTAATACACCGTGCTGATAGTATACAATCTAAGAGTAGGGTGACACACCGTGCTGACAGTATACAATCTAAGAGTAGGGTGACACACAGTGGTGATAGTATACAATCTAAGGGTAAGTTGACACATCATGCTGATAGTATACAATCTAAGAGTAGGGTGACACCCAGTGCTGATAGTATACAATCTGAGGGTAAGTTGACACATGATGTTGACTGTTTACAATCTAAGAGTAGCGTGACACACCGTGCTGATAGTATACAATCTAAGGGTAAGTTGACACATCATGCTGATAATATACAATCTAAGAGAGGGGTGACACACAGTGCTGATAGTATACAATCTAAGGGTAGGGTGATACACCGAGCTGACAGTATACAATCTAAGAATAGGGTGACACACAGTGCTGATAGTATACAATCTAAGAGTAGGGTGACACACCGTGATGACAGTATACAATCTAAGAGTAGGGTGACACACAGTGGTGATAGTATACAATCTAAGGGTAAGTTGACACATCACGCTGATAGTATACAATCTAAGAGTAGGGTGACACCCAGTGCTGATAGTATACAATCTGAGGGTAAGTTGACACATGATGTTGACTGTTTACAATCTAAGAGTAGCGTGACACACCGTGCTGATAGTATACAATCTAAGGGTAAGTTGACACATCATGCTGATAATATACAATCTAAGAGGGGGGTGACACACAGTGCTGATAGTATACAATCTAAGGGTAGGGTGATACACCGAGCTGACAGTATACAATCTAAGAATAGGGTGACACACAGTGCTGATAGTATACAATCTAAGAGTAGGGTGACACACCGTGCTGACAGTATACAATCTAAGAGTAGGGTGACACACAGTGGTGATAGTATACAATCTAAGGGTAAGTTGACACATCATGCTGATAGTATACAATCTAAAAGAGGGGTGACACACAGTGCTGATAGTATACAATCTAAGGGTAGGGTGATACACCGGTCTGATAGTATACAATCTAAGGGTAGGTTGACACACAGTGCTGATAGTATACAATCTAAGGGTAAGTTGACATACAGTGCTGATAGTTTAGAATCTAAGGGTAGGCTGATACACCGTGCTGATAATATACAATCTAAGAGTAGTGTGACACACCGTGCTTTTATCAGTTATGAAATTATTGCTTTCGTTGCACTTTCTACTTACATTTTAATTGCTGATACCTGTCCATCTTGTCTATGTAGTATGATGCCAAGATAAGTGTATATGTCAACTATCTTTGTATCACATTTTCCGGACGTAATTGAATTAGAATTTAAGGCGGGGCCACTTCCGAAGGCAACAAATTTAGTCTTAGAATTATTTACTATCATTTTCCATTTTGAACTATATTCTTGCAATACAATCAGTGACCATTGTGGATCTCTCCGACCACAGCCACATGAAACAACAGCATCAGGAAATAAAGAGACAATGAGTTGTTCATTTCATTTAGTGCTTTGTAAAGTTGCAAGATGTTTCAATATCCAGGAGCTTTGCAAAGTGTGCATTTCTATTTTCCAATATTTTCCAAAATTCTTTTACTTTTTCACGAAACTGTCTAGACATTTTCTTTTCGTATAATTTCAAATTTTTATTGAAATATTTCTGATACCTTGTAGAACTGAGCTCGGTTAAAATGGTTATATATTTGATGTATTTTTTCTTTGCTTTGTGGTATTTGTTTCTCATAATTAAATTCATGGTTAAACCATGGTTAGTGTTTCTTGTGACTGGTTTGGTTCGTGCAAGTTGGCTGTACTCCGAATGTTGTGCGTGCTGCAATAACAGGCACGTGCCCGATGTAAATCGCTAGCCTGATGATACTGTCTGAATGGGTGTTTTACTCGTGTGCTTATTGTGCTTGTTCAGGGAGAAGACGAAGTTTTTTCTGTGTCTATATTTTGAGGGTATTATTTAGACTTATACCATCACACCGTTTTGGCTTGGCTGTGGATGTGCTGGCGTACTCTGGATGTACTGTGAGTTGTGTGTGTTCATGGCTGTCAGTGCACGTGTTGTTTGAAGGGGATGATGATGTGAAGTGAAGAGGACAGTGGACGTCTGAATATAGAGGTGAGGCATCTAGTGTTTCAAAGTCTCTAAGGAGGGGGAGACACTTTGGGGAAGAGATAACATAATCAAATATACATTTATTGTGACAAGTTGTCCTGCCAACTATTGTACCTTTGGTTACTCTGCCATTGAAAATGAATAGATTTAGATTTTGGCACATTTCTATAACCTTGAAACCAAAATTATAAGCATTATTATTATCCTGTGTGGTTCTCGAGGGACATTAAGTTCGTCCCAAATAGTCTCGGGTATAAATTCATTCTCCATTTCTGCTAGATCCATATGAAGTAATGGTAATGTTATTGTTAGTTGTCCTGACATTGAAATCAGGTTTACACTGTCGCTAGTTGATAAGTAGTGTTGCAGTGACCGTGGTATTTCATTGAAAGCACCATTAAGAACATATTTGGAGCCTTCAGGTGGAACCTAGGCTTTTTTCATATCTTGATCTTGTATTACATAACTCCTTTCGAATATTAACCCATAAAACATGTGTACTATCATCGTTTATCATATATGTATCGTTAATTGCAACTCCAATGCCCTCTGAATTCAATGTTTTTGTTTCTTGAAAACCAATGATTCTACAAGTACTTTTCTATTAGTTCACTAACGTCAGGGTACTGGAGCTGTCACCTCAGCCACATACATTTACACTTAGAAATGAAGATACTGTGATTATTGTGATAATCATTATCAACATCATCCTAATGATCAACACCATTATCATCATCGTCATAATCATTACGCCATTATCATCAGTAAAGCAAATCTGCAGTATTATCATTCACATGATGAAATCCATTTTACTTCTCATTATCATCAACATTTGCATACAAATTCTCAATGGCATTGTAATTACTGATGTCGTCCACAGAGTTAGATACGGTATCATTGTAATTACTGATGTCGTCCACAGAGTTAGACACGGTGTCATTGTAATTACTGATGTCGTCCACAGCGTTAGACACTGTACCATTGTAATAATTGATGTCGTCCACAGAGTTAGACACGGGGTCATTGTAATTACTGATGTCGTCCACAGAGTTAGACACGGTGTCATTGTAATTACTGATGTCGTCCACAGCGTTAGACACTGTACCATTGTAATAATTGATGTCGTCCACAGAGTTAGACACGGGGTCATTGTAATTACTGATGTCGTCCACAGAGTTAGACACGGTGTCATTGTAATTACTGATGTCGTCCACAGCGTTAGACACTGTACCATTGTAATAATTGATGTCGTCCACAGAGTTAGACACGGGGTCATTGTAATTACTGATGTCGTCCACAGAGTAAGACACGGTGTCATTGTAATTACTGATGTCGTCCACAGAGTTAGACACGGTAACATTGAAATTACTGATGTCATCCACAGAGTAAGACACGGTGTCATTGTAATTACTGATGTCGTCCACAGAGTTAGACACGGGGTCATTGTAATAACTGATGTCGTCCACAGAGTAAGACACGGTGTCATTATAATTACTGATGTTGTCCACAGAGTTAGACACGGTAACATTGTAATTACTGATGTCGTCCACAGAGTTAGATACGGTATCATTGTAATTACTGATGTCGTCCACAGAGTTAGACACGGTGTCATTGTAATTACTGATGTCGTCCACAGCGTTAGACACTGTACCATTGTAATAATTGATGTCGTCCACAGAGTTAGACACGGGGTCATTGTAATTACTGATGTCGTCCACAGAGTTAGACACGGTGTCATTGTAATTACTGATGTCGTCCACAGCGTTAGACACTGTACCATTGTAATAATTGATGTCGTCCACAGAGTTAGACACGGGGTCATTGTAATTACTGATGTCGTCCACAGAGTTAGACACGGTGTCATTGTAATTACTGATGTCGTCCACAGCGTTAGACACTGTACCATTGTAATAATTGATGTCGTCCACAGAGTTAGACACGGGGTCATTGTAATTACTGATGTCGTCCACAGAGTAAGACACGGTGTCATTGTAATTACTGATGTCGTCCACAGAGTTAGACACGGTAACATTGAAATTACTGATGTCATCCACAGAGTAAGACACGGTGTCATTGTAATTACTGATGTCGTCCACAGAGTTAGACACGGTGTCATTGTAATTACTGATGTCGTCCACAGAGTAAGACACGGTGTCATTATAATTACTGATGTTGTCCACAGAGTTAGACACGGTTACATTGAAATTACTGATGTCGTCCACAGAGTTAGACACGGTGTCATTGTAATTACTGATGTCGTCCACAGAATTAGACACGGTGCCATTGTAATTACTGATGTCGTCCACAGAGTAAGACACGGTGTCATTGTAATTACTGATGTCGTCCACAGAGTTAGACACGGTATCATTGTAATTACTGATGTCGTCCACAGAGTTAGACACGGTATCATTGTAATTACTGATGTCGTCCACAGAGTTAGACACGGTATCATTGTAATAATTGATGTCGTCCACAGAGTTAGACACAGTATCATTGTAATTACTGATGTCGTCCACAGAGTAGGACACGGTGTCATTGTAATTACTGATGTCGTCCACAGACTTAGACACGGTGTCATTGTAATTACTGATGTCGTCCACAGCGTTAGACACTGTACCATTGTAATAATTGATGTCGTCCACAGAGTTAGACACGGGGTCATTGTAATTACTGATGTCGTCCACAGAGTAAGACACGGTGTCATTGTAATTACTGATGTCGTCCACAGAGTTAGACACGGTAACATTGAAATTACTGATGTCATCCACAGAGTAAGACACGGTGTCATTGTAATTACTGATGTCGTCCACAGAGTTAGACACGGTGTCATTGTGATTACTGATGTCGTCCACAGAGTAAGACACGGTGTCATTATAATTACTGATGTTGTCCACAGAGTTAGACACGGTTACATTGAAATTACTGATGTCGTCCACAGAGTTAGACACGGTGTCATTGTAATTACTGATGTCGTCCACAGAATTAGACACGGTGCCATTGTAATTACTGATGTCGTCCACAGAGTAAGACACGGTGTCATTGTAATTACTGATGTCGTCCACAGAGTTAGACACGGTATCATTGTAATTACTGATGTCGTCCACAGAGTTAGACACGGTATCATTGTAATTACTGATGTCGTCCACAGAGTTAGACACGGTATCATTGTAATAATTGATGTCGTCCACAGAGTTAGACACAGTATCATTGTAATTACTGATGTCGTCCACAGAGTAGGACACGGTGTCATTGTAATTACTGATGTCGTCCACAGACTTAGACACGGTGTCATTGTAATTACTGATGTCGTCCACAGAGTTAGACACCGTATCATTTGCATTCACATAGGTTTTATGGAAATTATCCTTCACAACAGTAAAATGGTTCAATTGTCTTATACCTCATACCTTATACACATTGTCCTTGTTATAAGTTTTATCATACCTGATGTCATCTGCAGGGTTAGAACATTTATCTTCCTTTTTCACATCAGTAGATTAGCGGTATCCTGGCACCCGTCACAAACACATGCAAATGCAAGTCAATTGTACATCTTAAGAAACACTGGAACATACGGTACAAGTCAAAATGGAGACAAGCAAAGTAAAGGAATGTCTGTCACTGATGCGTCAAATTTGGAAATGTCCTCCGCATGTCTGCTATATTAAACTTTTTGAAAGCTTTACTAAGGCCTTTGATGTTGTAACCTTGATTAAACTATTTTTAAGCAAGAGTTGTATGACGCTTTTTTAATCTTTGTAGAAAGAGCATGCTTGATTGTACCTCAAAAGTTGTGAAATGTAAACACCAAAGGCTGGAGCTGCGGGAATACTGCTCGACGTAAAGGGAAAGTTGACTATTAGAAAGTTGAAGTCATCCCTCTTGTCATACAGTCTTGTGGAGAGTGTTTTGTCACTCTGAATCTTTATGCATAGATCTATATATGAAACAGATGAAGCGGTTTCACTGGTCTCCTTACTGTTTAGTTCACTGGGAAGGGAATTGGCTATTTGATAGTTATTAAACGATATCAGATCATCCATATACCATAAGCTTTAATTAAACTTCTTAGAAAACTTTTTTTGCGAATTCGAGCAGAAATTCTGATTGATATGCTTCAAGAACAGATCAACAAGAACGGAGAACAATTGGTGCCCATGGGGATGCATACTTCTTGCCTAAATGTCTTAACCCAAAATTTCACATAGGTGCTGTCAAAGAGGAAGTCGAGAGTTTCAAATATTGTTTTATCAGAAAACTTCAGATTGCATTTGCTTTCATTTTTGACAAATTGTCCTGAACCTCTTAAGATAAATGAAACTATGTCTATGGTCGTTTTGTAACAAAAGCCCCTTGGATCAAGGATCGACGTTTTCCCTTGATTTTGATATGTGGATAGTGGTGTACATGGTCCAGTGGGGTCTCGCCTTTGGAACTCGACTCGCTAACTTGTGTATATTCGCCCAATTAGACGTTAATCACGCTGTGTAAGTCCAACACTTTATTGCGTACCTAATGCCTTAGTGCCTTAACTGTGTGGTGATTGTCTAGTGTTTAATAAATCCTTTAACTTTAGTTGGTTTATCCCGGATCCCTGTCAATGCGCTTTAGTGCCATCTTCCCGAGTCAAGAAATAACTGACTAGTAAAGTAACTCCCTTGCCGCGGGAAGATGCCTCACTGCAATCGGTCTGGCTATTTATTAATTTACATCACAGGAAGGTTTTCACAACGACGATTCGGTTCTTCTGTGGGGGACACGTAGCTATGTAGATATTTGAGAAAACGTCTGTTGAGTCACAGCCTAGCTTCGCAGAAGCTGTAATAACATTCCCGTGCAGATTCTGCGAAAATTTTGCGAAGTAAAATAAAATACTTTTGCGTTGCAGTGTACTTGTTCTGACCTGGAACCTCCACGAGGCTGCAGCATCTGGGTTATGTCCTGCTGTTCAGCGGGCCAGGGTATTAGGATGTCTCTCTAAGCTCGCGGCGATTGTCATTTTTTCATTGAATGGTATTTGTCTGTATATGAACTTTGTAAAATCTGCCAAACACATGATCGCATAACCCTGGTCCTGGTAGTGTTGTGACTCACTTTGCTCAATGAACATACACCTTGTACCACATTCTCCGTAGCCTGTGACATACATTACTAACATAGCATTCCCATCATCAATATCTGTTGTTTGTATTTATGATGTTTATTTACTTGCGACGCCAGCATCCTCTCGTCACTGCAGACGCCCTCGTCCACCGATCAGGACATGCCTCAGTGTGGAACATACATACTCTCCCGGCAGTGATTCGCCTGTTTCCACCATACTTGAATGTGTCTGGGGCGCAGATGTTACATATGTTGTCCTATCTGTGTCACATTCACACTGTTCTCTGTCAGTGATGGTCTCTCTGGTCCCCGAGTGTTGCTCCACTGCGAGCCAGTGTTTGTTGTTTCCACGCAGGCCACACAAGGCCAGGGGGCTGTTGATCATCCTGTCTTTATTTGTCAGGGCTGACGTCGCTACCACATTAATATCATCTCGACGTGTCCTTTCTAAACATCTACCGTGAAACAATTACCGACGGATGTTATAAAACAGGATTACATAAAATATATTTCATGAATATGTCAAAATATATAATTGACACGGTTGTGTTTCTGCTGATCATAAATGTCCGTCTCCAGGTATACTAACATATACATACGTTTTATAGTCGTGCCATGTCACAGCAAGACACATTTACACCTGCGGGAGACATCCCTGTGTCTTGTTGAACCCATGTGTCTACCCTACTTGACATATGAAGGCCGGGGGTGACCCTGGTTTTCCGCAATCATGTCCAGCAATAGGTGTAAACTACACTATACACCCAGCTATATATGTGTATACTAAACTATACACCAAGCATTATTAGTGTAAACTACACTATATATACAGCAATATATTTGTATACTTAACTATACGCCCAGACATATTAGTGTATATTAAACTATACATTCACCAAAATATGTGTATACTAAACTATACATCCAGCAATATATTCGTATACTTAACTTTACATCAAGCTCAAGCATTATATATGTATACTAAACTGTATATTCAGCAGTACACGAGTACACAAGTCTATATGTTCAGACCACTTTTTCAGACACCCTACATGTTAACAGCGCCCTCGGCCTAGTCACCTCGTGACTTAAGTACTATGTGCACCGCCCCCCCCCCCTCGGGACACACACACACACACACCACCACCACCATACGCCACACCCCTTATTCAAAAGCCACTGCTTAACCATACACCTCAGAGATGTTCATAGCTGTCACACTCGCCACAAAACCACGTTTAGTTCTCAAACACATCATCAAAGAAACTCACTCGTCAAAGACGACATATTCATTAATTGAATAAACCTCGATGCGCCCAGGAATAGAGGACTGACGACGTCTATTTAGTAGTGTTTGAATGGCCAGGCGACAGAGACTATCCTGTATTTGAACAACGCCCATCGTAAAAGTATCCCTTCAATAAATGGATGTTGTCTCAGCACTTGGCTGTACTGTTGTACTGGTCAGTCCGCAGATAACGGTACAGGCACTGTACGTGTGACCCCCAACGTACAGCTGACCATGGCTGCTGACCGTCACAACTACATTTTGTAGACTAGTTCCTACAGTGCTACCCCGCTGTGCTGGATGGTAGGGCCCCACTGGGTTCCCCCACAGCAACACAGATCGAGATGTGTTCATGTTAGCATCCCCAGCAATGACTGCCCACAAGCTGGTGTTTCCGGATTAAGGGGGTGTTGACATCAGTCGGCCTGTTCAGCTACATCGTGACCGACATTCTGGGGTAGGAGACCTGGATGTTTTGTTACAGTCAGGAACCAAGCCATGCTTCAAGCACAACAACGGCCTTACAGGACATGACCTGCACACTGTTTCCTTTAAGTATATTACGTCCAAGTATCTTTACACATTTACTGCCCACCACAATCCTAACAAGATCAAATGGTCAGTGCCTCACAGTTCACAGTGATGTAGCTAAGACCAACAAAAGGTTGTGCTTCAGGTACTTGTGTTTCACGGGCGACCAAATTGTTTTTATCACAGTTGGAAACAACCGTCAAGAAACCTTTCGTTATCCCTCGGAAGACAAGGCTGTTTCCGCTTATGTCGGTATTTTGATCTTTAAATTTGAGTAAAATGCAACTCACAACAGTTCTAAACAAGCCATTCGCGTTCTAATAAAATATAAACAAAAACACTCAATCTAAATTGCTTTGTGTCATTCAAACTAACATTGTAACTCCAAATTCCCAATTCAGTTTCAACCCATCAGGACGAGGAGCAATGGTGTTCGAGATTTGGTAAAAAAGGAACATCTCTGTTATCACTCTGTTCACTTAGTAAATTGTGATAGACTGTAATAGGAATGGCTGGGTAATAAAAAAACAATTCGACCTACTTAACCATTGTTTTTTTCATAAGTGATAAGAAATAAAGTTCTTGGGTTTCAAGAAAATATTAAATAAGATTATCACATATTACCATTAGCAAAAACAACATATTCATATATCAAACATTTAAAGGGGTAAAACCATGTTGAATGTGGTATCTATAATCTATTGCAATTATAAGAGATGAATACTAGTATCTTAATTATTCACAAAAATCGAACCACTTGCAGATAACATTTTATGATACAGCAACAGTAATTTAAATCGCGCCCATAGCCATACAGCATAATTTAATGTGTACTGCCCATTTACATCTTTTTTTATCTGCCAAAGAGTTTTACACGTAAATTATCTGTTGTGTATCTTTTGTAACAAATCGCCTTTGGGAAATACCACAACAACAACCACAACAAGAACAACAATAACAACAACACATTTATATTATGCCTGTCGGTGACGATTAATTTAAGACGATCTAAGAGGAACCTAAGCTACATAATCGTATTTTTGAGAAGAAAACAAAACAATTTTGTGTTCTGTAACTTTTTGATGGTTACCGCAGTTAAATCAGACAATATTGAATCTCCACAAGCCCAGGTACAACCTGTTTGTCTGACCAGGGCGCCTGAACGCTCACCAGCTTGTCCAACACCTGGCCGGAAGGTCACGTGACAGCGGCAAGGTGAGAGGTGAGTGGCGCGAATCCAACCGTTAGCAGACGACACATTTCTCTCTCGATGACAACATCAGCCTGAGGGCAGATTGCCATTAACCTGCATTGTTTTCCTGAAGTATAGCTGGTCCGCGTCTGACGCAGACGGCGTGGTCGCTTGTGTAGAGCTTGTAGGTGCTTATGTACATGGTGCGGCCGTGTTTGTGACAGCAGTCCAGGGCAGCATACAAGGAAAGTAGTATTGTTAAAGTACTTTCTGATCGTGCAACCTTCATGTCAATATTGATGGGACGTTGACAAGCAGAGCTGAGAGATTATAGCAGCAGAGCCGAAAGGTATACATTGAATGGTAAGTTTTCTCAGTGATAACTGTATGTAATTTGTTTGTTTACTAGACGAACATGAAAGGCGTGAATGGTAATTCCTTGACTTGTTTGAAGTCCCCACTGACATGTCTCGACGTCCTGCGGTCCACCCGTGCAGGGTGAGAGCCTCACGGTGTTCGCGGTGTCCTGCAGACTGTGTCAGTGATAGACGGAAACCATAAAGGTCCACAATACATGTTACCCCAGTCGAATGTTATGAATGCCCCCTTTGTAATGTATAAATCTAACGGGAAGTAGAAATCAGGTGTGTCCTACACGCCGTGGATGCACCGCGCTCTACACAGGACACGTCTCAGTGCTCTCCACCTATGTATGTATCTTTAATGAATGCATCGCGGTTCTAAGGACAATGTCATTGATTTTGAAAATCATTATCATATCCTTGTACTGACATTCAGTGCACGCACTTACACTTCTTTCCGCTCGAACAAACCCACATGTCACTTCCAACAAGTCCAAATTACATGTGTATACAATCATGCGACATTTCCTCGATCAGGTATCTCGTTATTTCAGGGTTTCCGGGTTTTGCAAGTTTCTTTTCAAAGAATACTTAAATTATTAATTTAAAAGTTTCCTGATTGCATTTATCTAGCACTTGTAGCAGGTGTGAACTTGTACATGTATATATCTGCCAGGAAGCGAGCTGGGCCAGCATGGCTAGATGTGTCCTGTTGTTTACACATCTCTCCATGTAGTTATGGTGATATGACGAAGTTTCGATCACACGTTGGCTCTACTTTCTCCACGTACAAGCAGTGATGAATGATTGGTTTCCACTTGATTCACTTGATTAATGATAGCACTTTGTGTTTGTCCCCGTGTGCTGCACCCGACAAAGACTCGTGTGTAGTCCAGGAGCTCCATATTAACTCGGAGCTTGTGAGCTCACTGCTCGGACCGCCCTTCAATCCGGGCGTGTCAGTTTACCATACCACAGTTTAGTTTTCCTTGTGTATAAAGCATGCAAAACAATATTTAAGTCACTGCTCTGGTTGAAACTGGAGTGTGCGCATGCTTCAAATCCCTATAAACTAATCTTTGTTTCTTTGTAATAGGTGTCTGAGCTTATAAAAGTGTCAGTTCTTCATAGGAAGTAATAACTGTGTGATAGAACAGCATCTGTCAAAGTACTTGTAAGTCAGATTAGAATACGTTCCCACAGCTTACGTTTCACCGCGCACCTTGCACACAGCTGTTCCTGCACTGGTACTGCAACACAGCTACACAAGCATGACTAACACCAGACTTGACTGTAGTTCCAGTATTACAGCTATATAGATTATCTTTCTTCTAAGCAGATTAGCAGCTTACCAGGAGTATGTTTCTTGTGCTACCTGGGGTATTATGTGGTCAAAGGGTCAGTGCGTATTTGGGTCAGTTGACCAATACAATGGCCCATGATTTGATATTGTATGACTAACTTTGGATCAATGATATATCGATTTTTTTCTTGGCATCTTGCCCTACAGAGGGCAAATCGAAGAGTTACGAGTAAATAATGATTCAAAGAATAAACGTCCATACGAGGGCCTAGCATGTATCCGATGTTTGTGTTTCTGACGGGGATAATTTGTCATTCCAGTAGTCAGCAAATCGAATGACAACGTAGCACCCACGTACGTGTTTCACTTGTTGACAGCGAGGTGGGGAATGCCCGCCAATTGACTCAAAACAGTTCGGGTATTGGCAGAGCCATCATGAGCAGCAGGACCTCTGGTAGCTGCACCACCGTAGCAGGTGCGATGCTGGGTGCTTGTCTTGTCATACTGGCAATGATCCTAATCGTGGTATTACACACAACAACGAGGTCTTGATCTCAGTGTTAGGAACCTGGCGGCCTTCCATATCGTCGTCATGCTGTACTGAGGTAGACTCGCACTGTCTGAAATCGGTGGGGAGGACTACAAATAATTTAATGTATAATTATCATTGCATGACATATTATTTGACATAGAAAGGAGGTGTTGAGTGTGTGCACGTGTACTGACCTGATGTGTTGATGGAGAGTATTGCTATACTGGACACAATGCCACTGGTCCCCAAGCCAGCTTGGGTTTGCTCCTTGTTGTAAGTGTTTAAGAGGTCGCCTTCTGCCTTTGGCTTTGGGACTCATGTGTGTGGGTAGCAAGGGTACACATGTCTATTGGGAGTGTTAGTATTGATAACATTTCTGTTTTTGCTCCTACTGTGGGTAATACCTAACATATACTGAAATAGCCACGCAACCCCCCTTGTGCTCAATGAACCGTTAAGGTATAGGTGATCAGGGTTACTGGGTACTAACGAGACCTGCTGCACAGCGACTCAGCTAGGATTAGCACCTGCAGAACCATCACAACAGGAAGTCAAGGTGCTTGACGATGATACATGTTGATACTGTGTAAGACATGATTCTCCCTGACTATTCATAATTGTGCTTCGTAGTTCTCAGCGCCCTGCCGGGAGTTGAACTGTGTCTCATGTCAGACGTAATCTAAACAGACACGGCAATACTGAACAGGGGGAGGGAGCCGCTTGAAGGAACGAGCCTAAGGAAATACAGCTATAATCTGATTTACTCACAACTGGAAGTTTCTATTGTGACTTGTGACTAATATGTTGTTTCTGCATGTTTCAACCTTTAGGCCAGTAGCCACATTGTAAGTGACAAATGAGATTCAAACTGCCATGTAAGTGATGTCTCTGCAATGTGCTGTACTGGTGTAAACTTGCTGTCAAATTTCTCTTCAAATCTTTGGGCGGTCGGGTAGCCTAGTGGTTCGAATCCCGACATGGATGCAATGAATGAAGCCCATTTCTGGCGTTCCCCGCCGTGATATTGCTGGAGTATTGCTAAAAGCGGGGTAAACAAAAGTCGGCAGACTTGAACCAATTGGGGTATTAATCTAACTTTGTGCAGCCAGAGGTGAGGGGAAATGGGGTTTAACGTCGAGTCCAAGATTATTGCACTTACATCGCGACGTGCATGCACGTGCATGTATTTGTATGGACTGGTGCCGATTTTATAGTGCTAGCCCACTGAGATACCATGCCGCGGTTTAACATGAATAGACTCAGACACAGTATACTGATTCCGAGCCGACCAGTCTTTGTTTTAGCCCCTTAATTCCGAGCGCCAAGCGGGGTATCAAGTATCATCTTTTAACGTCTTATGGTATGACGCGGCGGTTGTGAAGAAAGAAATTGTAAATTTACCAGACAGACTCACATCAGTAAAGGTATTTATCTGACTATGTACAGCAACACTTGTCATATACATTTAACGGATGAAAATATGAGCACATTTGGAGAATAGTGCTACGTGTTTGCCCATGTATATAAAACACCAGTGGTGACAGTTGCTGGATCTCTGAACATATATGCAGTGGCGGCCATCGTCTTGAGTACATGACGTTTGTCTGCAACGTGTGCCTAGTCACAAATGGATTAAATGGATTAAACTCTCCACGACTCGTTCCCGCAGCGCCCCTGTTTGAGCAGAGATGGGGGATGTAGCCGGGAGGTGGCTGACCAAACATGGTCACATTCGTGTTGACATTTTGTTTCAAACTAGTCTCAAAAGTCTCCATTTTTTCCAGAAGGTTAGGGTTGAGGACCTGTGGTTTTCAACATAACAGCAATTAGTCACGTCAGCCGTTTGAAGTCTCCCGGTATCCCAGGGAGTTGTCGTCCACTGATATCCAGTCCCTTATTTCACCTACGTAGCTGAATGTTTGGGTGATGTACGGTAACTGGCAATGGGGCGGGGCTACCTAAGTGTAACTATACCATTAACATAGTAGCATGCTTAATATAAAGGGTGGTGCTTCGTTGTATTTCGAATAACGTAACAGTAACGTAACGCGCGCGCTTGTGTGTGTGTGTGTGCGTGCGTGCGTGTGTGTGCGTGCGTGTGTATGTGTGTGTGTGTGTGTGGTTTGGATGGCAGGGGTAGGGAAGATCAGATGTTCCGAGGAATGAGACAAGATGCGTATAGCGCTCGCTGTTGTGAATCCTGTGTTTTATATCCTGTTACTGTATGTAGCTTCACTTCCGAGACACCCGGGAGGCAAAAAGCGTTTCTTGTTTTTAGGTTGGCGTTGAAAATACGGCCTTTGGGGCGTTGTCAAACAGGAGAATATTAAATTCTCCGCTTTCAGCCATGGTGTTTGAAACAATAGGGATGTATTCAGGGCGGTGGGTGTTTTAGATATGAATTATGCTAATCTCCGCCGCCAGGAGTCGTGACAGTAATCACTGTGCCCAGGAAGTGATACATAAGCATCCACGACACACCTCTTGCAAGGGCTTCACTGCCCTGTGTTGTATCCCAGTTGAAACCCGCCCATCATATATATACAAACAGATACAAACTGAGACCTTTGGGAAGAATTCCTCAATGTAAAATCTCAAGGTTGTCATATTATCTGATATCTTAGATGTCGTTATATTTCATTTTCTTGTTGACATTTTCCTTACTTTCCACATTTGCATTGTAGTCATTGGAACAATGCCAAGTATTCCAATGTTTCGGATTTAAGCTATACACGTGCCATATGCAAGGGAAGTTCGCCAGAAACTATATGCCCCCGCCCAGTATATCCATGGCACAGTGAATATCCATCTGATATTGACCTTGGTTGTATGGTGTCAGGACCAAGTGAAGATTTAAAGACGGCGATTATGTGTGTTCTGAAATAACATAAGCATAAGACGCAGTCTGGCGAAGGTTTATTCGTCCAATCCAGATTGAAGATTTGTTAAATCACATGCTTGTTCTCTACCAGTGGTATAACGCTGTTTAAGTAGGCATTGATCTTAGCTTTGTAGAATGCTTGATCCCGTGAACGATGTGACTTGATTGCACGCATATAGACTTGGCAACAATTTGTCGCGGTATGTCAAGGCGAACGACATGCAAGACCCTTGGCGCAGGTAACAAACTTAGATCTGGACAGGTCGTGATTGCTCAAGCTTAAAT